TTTATTTATTATATATATATATATATATATATATATATATCTTTTTACTTTTATCATGAAAATATGAATAATATTGTATTCCATTTTAGCTCCTAGTGCCATAAACAATAACAAAATGACAAATAGCATATTAGAGGAATGCCACAGAACATTTGTAGCTTGTTATCATGTATTTTATCCAACAGCGTATTTAAAATGGGTGTGTTTATGCGAGTTGCTATCGGAAATTGACAGAGTATGCATAAGTTAAAATTTTCTAAAATCTAAATAAAATTAAACGATTCATATAAAATAAACGGATACATTTTTACAGGAACAAGGACGATCTACGAAGGATCGATTGTTATCTGCTATTTTAGCTGCACTATGCAATCCTATTATTCGTCTTCGATGTATATTTCCAATTTTAAATAATGTGATGGATAGTAGCGATAGTATAAAACGGCAACTCAGTCCATCCGACAATACTGGCTTGTTAATGATAAATTCAACCGAAAGTCATCAATATCCAATCTTAGTCGAGCAAATTAGTTATAAATCTCAAATAGAAAGTTCCGGCAAAGATACTTTAAACTGGTCATTTCGCGATGTCCTCGATAGACTGTTAGATTTGATTCTAGTCCCTGTAAAGAAAAGTCTTTGTAGAAAAAAGACTCAATCACTGCCAGAGTTGGTACTTCATTGTTGTTATTTATTAGCGCGAGTGATCGCTGAATTAGCGGCACAATCTAGTGGGAACGAGGATGAACTTCAAGCCGCATGCGGTAGAATTATGTACACTACACCTTCGAGATTTACCCGTGTAAATCAAACAAGGTCGTGGAATACCGGTAATGGCTCTCCAGATGCGATTTGTTTTTCGGTCGATAGACCTGGTATCGCCATCGCGGGAGTGGGTATTTACGGAGGTGTTGGAATGTACGATTATGAGTTGGAATTACTCGACGATGTGAGCATTATTACAAACATTGATACAAAAATAACGTTGTTTTTAACGTTACTTTTTGATATTACTATGATATTATATATTTTTTTTTGTAGCAAAATAACACGGGCAACGATCCATCCCATACTCAACGTTGGAGCAGTTTGGATTTTACACGCGGCACTTTCGGGCCAGATGATTGCGTTAACGATATAGTAGAATTAAAATTTGATAAACCTGTGCCTATCAAGGAAAATATGAAGTACGCTATTAGACTGAGAAATCGTGGAGGACGTACAAGTAACGGCGATGTTGGTTTGAGTGTCGTTAAAGGACCCGATGGAACTACGTTTACTTTTACAGCTTGCTCCTTAAGTTTCAACGGTATTATTCATCGTAAATAATATATCATTTTATTTAACCGAGAATGATAATACGTATGATTTTTTTATTAGGTACAACGCAGACCAGAGGTCAAATACCGCATATCCTTTATTATTCGAATCCTCAAGATTCGGACGGTCAACAAACGAGCAAAGCAATGGCTGAAGTACAGGCAAGAAAATGTGCCCTTGCCATGACAGCTACGATTATTCAAAGATCGAACGAAATTTTTGCATTAGCGAGGGAAAGGGCAGAAGAAGTAGTAGCGACGGAAGTTCTTGGCAACGCGACATTCGTGACAACACTTTTACCATTGGTTATGGCACACATTAGCCCTTTGGCTACATCGGATCCGAGAGTAAAAAATCATCATTTTTCCATCCATATTTTTTTATAATTATATATAGCTATTTATATAAATTATCCGTTATTTTTCAGAGCGGTGTTCAAATTCTTACTTTAATACAAGAAATGTTACCTCATGTTGCGGCGCTTAATTTATTATCCACAATGGGATCATCTGAAATATCTCAAGACAACGAGGTTCAGCCCCACATTCCTACGCCAGTAACTACCAGTCATCACTATACTTGGTTGGAGAGTGATCATCCTTACAAACCTGCTACAGTGTCTCATTATAGAGTCACGTTTCCAGAAACAGTAAAATGGTTAACCATCGAATTTACGCCAGAATGTGGCACAGCTCAACCAGAAGATTATTTACAATTGTACATACCAAATATAATTTCTCTTGCCGGGTAAATATAATTAATTTAATTTATGGTCAAAAGTTTTAAAAAAAGTTTTACGTAATATTATCTCTTTGATATTATCTTTTATAGCGCAATAACAGAAGATATACCGTTACATTGGCCCGTGTTGCATAAATTGAGCAATATACCGAATCAATGGCCTCAAAATGCGATCGTATTACCAGGTAGATATTACCTTGTTTTATATAGAATAATTCCTATCAACTTTTTCGTTATTTAAACATATCGAACGATTTATAGGAAACGAAGTTATGTTTTCGTTGGAAACTGCTTCCGATTATATGAGAAACGATAGAGCAATTACATATGGATTTAAATGTCTAGTTATTGGATACGATTGGATAACATCTGGAAACGGTTTAAAAAACTTAGAAATTGAATTATCATTTCTCGGAGGTGCCTGTGCTGCAAGTCTTATGAAGAGAAATCTTGCGCTACCACCTGTATCTAGTACGTATCTTTTATCGTATATTTTAGTAGTAAATTTCTTATTTCCTTAATTCATAATTATTTCTTTGATTTCGACGTCAATTCACGATATTTTATACATGGATAGTTGGAAGTGAAGAAGAATCGAATCGTGTTTCGTTCAATTTGACTGAATATCATTTCAGACGAAGAAGTGGAAGAGGATTTGGAACTGATGCAAGAAACTGCAAAGAGGATTTTTTCCGTACATTCAACCTTACTTGGACGAGGATTCGCTCTAGCTTCACCTCCTACAGTTTCCCAGGCCCTCGATGGCGTTCTTCCGTTCAGGTGAGTAACGAATCGAGCAACGCTTTCTTTTTTTATACACACATACACACACACATACACACACACACACAGACACAGAGCTCGATCGTCGGTTGAGAACTGAAGTTGAAAAAGGAGTGGAATCTTTATCGATTGTCCGCGTACCGTGATTAAATAAAACTTCGGATAAGCGAAGTATTCGTTAATACGATGACGGATAAATATTTTTGTTCATCGTGCCATTTCCTTTTTAACGTTTCAGTTCCATCGAAACGTTCGATTAGATCCGATTAAACGGGAAATCGTTGAAAACAGATTCATTAAAAATGAATCATACCCGGTTATAATCGCGTTATTGAAACCGTTCATGAATCGGTACATTATGCTCCGCAAGAATTAATAGAACCGGTAGCTTTCACGTTTCCACGTTTCTACGCGAGCGACTGCGAATAACCGTTGATCGATCGTACGACGATATATCGCTAAAA